CAGGAACACGCGTAGAGAATGTTTATTATTTTGATTCGGGATAAAACAGTTATGCTATGTACGGGTATCTTTTGTTGAAAATAATTATGATATGGTAGTCACAAACTGCCAAAAAGCTGTTCAAACGAGCATTTGGCACCATAACTTTCAAAACCTAACCTCAAAATAGCACAAGCGTCCGAATATTAATATCAGTTCGAATTCACTAGTATTGCCATAAGTGACAAACTGTTACACTTATGGCAACATTGTTATTTAACACTTGTGCCATTTGGAGGTTAGCATACTGCAAATACATAGCAGCTTTTTGACAGTTTGTAACTGTAAACTCGTGCAATTATTCAACAAAAAAGATGGTAAACATAACATAACATAACTATTTTATCTGGAGAATTGGCTCCTTCAATCAGTATTAATAACAAACTTTATGTTTTATTTCTTTTTAAAATTTTAATATTTTATTCAAATCGTAAATGAATATTTAAAATTTCCTACGTATTTTGTAGCTATAACCATGAACAGTGGATTTAATTTATTCATAAAAAAACCTTTTAATGATTGTACATTTCTAAACTAAAAAACTAATAAAGGTTATTGAAAAATTTAAGTGAAACTGAACCCACCTAAATTTCTTAAAACTATATTTTAAGTGTTCTGGTTCTATTTCCTGGATGATGACACACATGAAGTGTCGAAACGAACTTTTTTTGAATCGACGAATAGGGTGCAAATTATTTCAAATAATGCAAATTGACGCCAATGACTTCGCAAAAATTAAACAAAAAATATTTTTTTACTTGAACATACCTCTCTCTATTTAATTATTACTCTTTTCAGTGACAAAAAAACAAGTTTTTAGACGCAACATTAATTTATTTTACAATTATTTTTTCATTGTACTAAAAAGTACAATAAATACCTCAATTTTTTTAGACAGTGGTGTTACCCCTTAATAAATGATACGATGTAATTTAATAAAATCGTTAACGTAATATTCAATCATATTGTTACATACAATTTATCACGATATCCACAAATAGTTTCCAACTTAATTTAATTAATATAATCCTTCATGAACATAAAACCTTAAAATCTAATTTAAAATTTAAATAAATTATATTCTACATTAGTCTAATAAAAATTCAGTCGAAATTGTAATATTTGTCATTGTAAATGAATTAAATTTTGATAAATATTGCACTTCGATTGCAATTTCGAGACTTATGACTTTCTTTAATATAAAATTATGTATACAACCTATTAATTTTTATAATTAACTACATCGCCAGCCTCTCTCACGTCATAGAATATTATTTCACATGTACAATTTGTAATACTTACATCACTAGTGGCAATAAATTGCATCGCAAATGTACATATTTATACATTAGGAAAAACAAACAGAAAAATAAAAATGGGATGTTTAATGGAAAATGTGTCTATAATATTAATTGGCTGCCTGTTGTACTTGTGTCGTAATAGGCGTCGGAGACTTAACGATGAAGGTGTTGCCTAATGCTACGACCTGCTTCTTAGGTTTAATTACAACTATGTTATTCTGCTTAACGAGATTACCAGGACTGACCTTTACAGTGGCGCCGTTCAGCACAAAACTCGGCTTGATGAGGACTTTGTCGATGCTAAGTACTTTTGCCCCACCGGGTGTCGCCATCGCCACCGCCGCCGCCGCCGCTGGTGCAGACGGTTTATTACCCTGGTTGTTGGTCGTGTCTTCGGAGTTCTCCTTATTTTTCTCCTGGTTACTGTACTCGTCATAACCTGAGTCTGAGGAATTATCACTAAATACCTTATCTTTAGTTGAAGGCAGCACTGATGATGCGACCACGACGTCTGTCGTCGTCGTCGTCGTCGTCGTAGATTCGACGGATTTTTGGCGCTTTTGCGAGGAATGGTGATTCCTGCACGGCTTGTAGTTTGTCATGTCTATCGCCAGCTCGTTTCCGGCGCCCTTGAAGAATGTGCCGCAGCACATTTTTACACTGGAAAGAAGATAATGGGATGATTTACAAGGTGTGAGCGACTAGTTTGTCTTAGGGCAATTTACAAAAACTAGTCAGAAAACTGAAAAAAGGACTCTACTGATAAGAAAATTAAATTTCGACCTAGATCATAATAATGGCGAGTAAAATAACCCTTTGAGGACGAGCGCAGCATATATGCGTTTTACACAAATAATCTTTTAGCGTCATAAATGCGCCTAAATACACTTCGGTGACCGAGATACTCAATGTTAATAAACCAAACTGAATAGTTAAAAAACAAACATTTTATTTATCATGTGGCAAATATGGACTTAAACGCGTTTTTCTCAAAACTGTGTTTTTCAAACTTTCCTCCATTGTATCTCAGAAACGGCTGAACCGAATTACTTGAAATTTACAGGGCAAAAGTTCGATTTTTTTATAGCAAAAAAAAAAAAAAACGCCTAATTTGCAACTTTTATTTCAAATGTCTATCAAAAATCCAATTTTTTTTATATCCATTTGATTATAGGTCATTCCGTGCTTTTAAGCCTACAAATTAAAACGCCGTTAATTTTTTTTCCGATGAGCCGATTAGCCGGAATCGTGGAGGAAGTGGGAGCTCTTTTTTTCGAGGCGGAGGTGTTCAGAGCGCTGTAATTCTAGTTTGACTGAATATTTTTAGCTGAAATTTTATATTTATACTGTCCAAATATATGTTGAACTTGAAGCTCTAAATATTTACTGGTCGTAGAAAAAAAATCCTAAAATATCCCTAAAAAAAGGCCGTCACATAGGAAGACCCCCTTAACATATAATATGTCCAGAATTTAAGAGACGTGCAAATTAAATTGCAAACTAGGAAGGGAGCGGCCAATCACGTGATCGATTTTTTTTAGGAATTTTTAGATCCCCTCTCCCCCTTAGTGATACACGTCGTGATATTTAAAATTACCCCCACCCCCAACAAACATCTTGTGTATTTTTACGTTACGTAAATTTTTTGAATTTACAAAAAAAATTTTTTTTTAATTTTGATAAAAACACACGTGATATATTACTACACCCTTTCCTCCACCAATGCGATTTTTCGTGATTTTTTTGTCGAAGCCTCCTTACCCCTAAAATCCTCACGTGATTAATGAACGCCCCCAAAGATAAAAATTATAAGTTGGGCCAAAAGCCCAAAAAGGACTCTACTGACAAGCAACTTATATATCGGGCTTAAATCCCATAAAAAGGACACTTCAACGTAGTAAAAATTCTATATCCGCCTAGAAGCCCACAAAAGGACTCTACTGACAAACAAAATTAAAAATAAATGGAAGCCCAAAAAAGGGACTCTACTGACGAGCAAACTAGGAAAAATAAAAATTATATATCAAACTAAAAGCCCCAACAAGGACGAGCAAATCATGTATCCATCAGGAGACCAAAAAAGAGCTACTGACCAACAAAATTAAATATCAAACTGGAAGCTCAACAAAGGGACTCTACTGACGAGAAAATTATATATCGGATTGAAAGCGAAAAAAAAAAACTGACGAGAAAATTATATATCGAACTAGTAGCCTACAAAAAGGACTCTACTGACGAGCGATTTACATATCATACTAGAAGTATGAAAAAGTGCCTCTACTCAGGAGCAAATGAATTTGCAAACTAGAAACCCGAAAAAGGGACTCTACTGACGAGTAAATTAAATTGCAAAGTAGAAGCCCGAAAAAGAACTTTACCGACGAACAAACTGTAATTTTGATCTAGAAGGTTTTAAAAGGAACTCTACCGACGAGCAAAATTAAAAACTAGAAGATAAAAAAGGAACTCTACCGACGAGCAAATTAAATTATAAACTAGAAGTTGAAAAAATGGGCTCTACTAACAAACAAACCTTAATTTTGATCTAGAAGAAAAGTCCACTAATGAGCAAATTAAATTGCAAACTAGATTCTACCGACGAGAAAATTATATATCGGACTAAAATGGCAAAAAAGAACTCTACTGACGACCAAATTATATATCAGACTAGAAACCCAAAGACTATAGTGACGAGCAAAAGAAACCCAAAAAACAAACTACTGATGATCAAATTATCAAATAGAACTAGAAGCCAAAAAAGGACTCCACTGACGAGCAAATGCCGCCATTTTCAGGAAAAATGGAAACTTTACTCGTGAGCAAATTTTGTCATTTTTAGATAAAAGGAACTCTACTGACGAGCAAATTCAGAAAGCCAAAAAGGGACTCTACTGACGAGCAAATTCAGATATTAAAAAAAGAACTCTACTTACGAGCTAATTCTGCCATTTTTAGGGAAAAAGAAAACGCTAATTCAGAAAGCCAAAAAGGGACCTTACTGAGGAACATTTTTGTATAAAAAAATAACTATACTAATGACCAAATTCTTGTTGAAGTTTGATACTAAACGCTCTCTGTCTACTATGTTTATGTATATATGTTTGTCTTTTGTTTTATATAAAACAAGCGGTTGTTAATAATGTTTGTAATGAATGTGATTAGTTAAAAGAATATATAATCAGTCAGTCTGTTTTCATCCTTCTGCATAAACGGTTGTATTATTATTCACATAAACTTTCAACATAAATTCTACAATTCTGACATTTTTAAAAGAGGAATTCTACTGGCGAGCAAACTAAAAATGTATTAAAAATATTTGGATTTGGAATATTTTTTTTAATTTTCTTCATATAACTTTTGATTTTTATTTAGGTCTTTATAAATTTATTTAAATTAAAAAAACTAAAGAAGAATATATTAAAAACTATTATTTAGGTTAAACATATATATCAAAATTTTAAATTAAATGAGTTGTGATAGCATTAAAAAATCATTTTTATATCTTTCCCAATAATTTTTTTTATCACAACAATCTCTTTGCTTTTCATTTCAATTAGGAATTATATTAAGTTGAGTAAATTTAAGAGTTTACTCAAGTTTATTCTCGAAACAAATATCAATTTAGCTACCCGTACATAACACTTTGTTAATAAACTATATTTATACTATTATTCACATAAAACTATATTTATTACTATTATCAAATTCCATAGATCGACTTACCTAGACCAATATCCGGTTGCAAAAATCCTCCACTATCAGGCGGTCCAGCTTTGCGTTTACTAGGCGGCTTATGACTTTTCCTGCGTTGCCTAACAATATTGTTCTGGGCATTGTTTTCTTTACCATTCTGAACGACAGCACTATTTTCATCTTCTGCCAATTGCTGATTGGTATTGCAGTCAACATCGGAAAGATTGTCATCAGCATCGCTGTGATAACTCAGAGGACTTCCCGGTGTGCTGTCATCGGAAGGGGCTGGTAATAAAAAGGAAAAAGATAAATAAGAATTATGTTCTTATAGAAAGTGTGGGTTTATATGAATATTTATTATTACTTGGACTATTTTCTCTATTCTTTTGAGCATTGGCACTTTTCTTCTCTCTTTTTTACTCTTCTTCTTCATTATTTTCAAAAACTTCTCAGGGGGTGCATTCGTATTGTTAAATCCTACACAATTCGCAGCCAATTCCTTCTCTTCCTTTTTCTTTTTGAACCTGGTCATTGATTTTAAACCGGGTCCTACCCTAGCATCGACAACCTGCAAAATTAATAAGAATATTTAATTGTGAGTTACAATTTTGTCTTTAACCAAGGGATGATGATGTTCAACTTACATGGCCCCAATGCCTGTCCGAGCCAGGTGGAAGACGTTTGAAACGTTTTACAAGTAAAACACATGCATTGCAAATTTCTCCTTTGCGAGGTGATGGCAGTTGAAAGCATTCCACGAAATCGTCTTCGTACTTGCGAGAATCGGTAAACCGAGAACTAGAAAAAAAAAAAAATATATTATATAGAAATGTTGTAAAATTAATAAAACATATCAAAGTTTTGCTTTAAACCAAGTTTATTCATCGAAGCTTCGATTTCAAAGCAGTCGATGTAAACAAATTGTTTAGGAAGAACATAAATTTACGAAATAAAGAGATAAACTAACTTTTACACAAAACTGATTGTAACAAACATTTAGATCATTCACAATGTTTATTCGGAAGAACAAATAAACAAAGGAAAAATTTCAATTAAATTTTGGATATATCTGAAGATGAAAAGTTAACTGATGTTTAATATCTTCAAAGAAAATCTAATGATGGAAAAGTTCAACTGGTGTTTAAAATCTTCAAAGTGTTTACAACACGTAACGAAAAAAAAGTTCAACTTACTTCTTATATCTTCTAAATGAAATTTTTAGTACATATCAATATAATAACATAAAAATTGTACAATTTAAATAAATGTAAAATAAGTAAATAATTCACATTTGTGCCAAATTTAATAAAAATCGATACTAGGTTTTTGCTTTAAAGCACTTTATGGATAAAAACAAATGAGGTCTATTAATTGATTCAAAAGTTTCCAAAAGATTGTTTTCATTTGTTTATTTCTTGGAGCATTTTCTATTCAAAAAACGTTAAGTCAAAACTTTTCTAAAATAATTTTTCATAATAAAAAATAATAATAATAAGTATGTTGTATGAATATAAAATAAACTAGTGGGGTGTACGGCATCGTGCCTTAAGGCAAATTGCTGGAACTTCCCGTACCGTAAGTGAAATAGATTATTATAAATATTGTAACATTATTGTAATTATTTTGGATATACAAAAAAAACTTAAAAAAAGGTATACAATTTTTTTTCCAAAATCAGTTATTTTCTTCAACAAGCAGAAAGTTCTTTGAATCATTTAAATCGGACGCTCAGTTCTCTCAAAAACTGCCAATTTTACATATTTAGCTCCGTATCTTCGAAACGGCTGGGCCTGCCTTTGCCAAAAACTAACCCACTTCTCTCCTTCATTGCAAATTAAATGTTTTGTGAATCATTCAAATCGGTTACACCGTTCCCTCAAAAATTCGATTTCTATTTTCTGCACTCTTTGCCCCGTATCTCCGAAACCTATAGACCTGCCTTTGCCAAAAACTAAGCAACACATCTCCCTATCAATAGGAATCGAATGTTTTTTGAACCATTCAAATCGGTTATCCGTGCGCCCAAAATCGTCGATCAAAATTGTATCCATACATACACACACACACATGCATTTTTTCTGAGGTATGCCAAAATGTTCAGAAACCTTCAAAACGTCGAGAAATGTAAAAATGTTCAATTCCGATTTTCGGCCCATTACAATAACTTACCCTACGGGAAGTTAAAAAAATCGTTCGGATAAAATAAACATCTGTAAAATTTAATATAAAGAAAGACACTAGATTTTAGCAAAGTTAATGAATAAAAAAAATTAAATTAGGATTTTTTCGATGTAATTCGTATCCACTGATGATGATATTAAATTGTTTGTCAAAACGTCTGGAAAATTAATATAATTTAATAACTTAAATTCTTTCTTTTCTTCTTTTGAGTATTTTTAGGTGTATAATTATATTTACTTAATATTTTTATTATATTAAGACAGAATTTCTTTATTTGATGTAAAATTAATTAATTAAAAAGCAAATGTCGCAAAATTTAAACAAAAGCCTCTGCAGCAATATTATTACAATGTATAAAAAAGAAATAAATAATATTTGATTAAAACTGAAATTGTTTATATATTGCCATGAGCGTAAAGTTAAATAAATAAATAAACTAGTGGTGTATGGCAGCGTGCCTTAAGGCAAATTGCTGGAACTTCCAGTACCTAAAATTTTTTTTATAAAAAATAATCAAACTTTTTTTAACCCTTGAAAAAAATTTATTTTTGAGAATTTTGAAATTAAAAAAAAAAAATTACTCATGAAAAATAAAAGATTTTCTTATATATTGAAATATATTGGTAATTTTTAACTTTTTGTAAAAGCAATTGCGCTGCTTTAGCTGCATATCGAAGACGAAATATCGAAGCGCGTTAGCGCCGCGTCGCAGTCTCACGGACAGGTAATGTTACGGAACCCATATAAAAATGTACACAAAATTTTACTTATCATTACAAACTTTCTAAAATATACGATAATACGATGTGCATATAAGTCTAACGAACATTTTTGACCGCCAAATGTCATTTTTTTGACTCTTGAATAATCTTATCCATTCATTTTTTATATAACTTTATAAATATACTACTGTTCAGCCTTCATAATATACAACATTTGATGCTATTTATATTATATGCTACTAACATTGCTTTTACTAATAATTTAAAGTTATGTATATCGAAGAATATTGCAACTGACTTCTTGAAACTTTGTACGTATTACAAAATACTATTATATCAACCTTTTTTATAAATAATTGAAACTTATTTACTATTACCTATAAAATCTTTGAGATATTGTATAGCAATCAGTGTACTATAATGATGAGTCGAAATTTAGTAATCGATCATGTATCTCAATTAATCCTTCACATTTTTTTTTTTTTAGGTATTGTTTCAGGTAGAAAACAAATTATTTCTGTATTGTATTAAAAAAAATAAATAAATAAATAAAGAGAGTACATTTATCTGTCATAAAAATGCATCAATTCTATATAATCCATTTATATCATGTATCGAATTAACCGAGCATTCCTATTTTTTTAGATGTTGTAAGTGGTAGAAAACAGTATTATTGTAGTACTTATTGGATTAAATAAAGAACTAAATACATAAAGATTTATGAGAAGAAGTCATAATGGTGCAACTTAATCATCGATTTGTATAATCATGTAACTCTCCTATAATCAATGTAACTTTCCTATTTTTAGATGTTGAAAGTGGTAGAGAAAAACATTATTATTGTAGCGAGATTATCATTATGTGTGGGTTGTAATAAATAATAAATAATATCATAAATAAATGAACATCATGAAATAACCTCATATGTGTAAATGTCATACGATTATAGCATTTTATTTTTTGGATGTTGAAAGTTTTAGAAAACAATATTATTACCATAGCATTATTATCACTTCCGTAGATTTGTGTGAAGGATTTATTTATCTGTAAATATCATATTTTAAATATACATATAAGAACAAGTTGAATGCTAAAATTACAGATATAAAGCAAAATTAAGATAGATATAAGAATACTAAGTTATTTTCTCCAAAAGATCAAAGAATTAAATTCAGTGATTATATAAATTCTTCCTATTTCTTAGATGTTGGAAATAGAACCAAATGGTTTAGAAAGCATGTAAATCAATGGGGATTCAAACTTTAGACAAAAGCCTCTGAAGCAATAATATTACTATACGCTTAATTCTTAATACTATAATTTTTCATATATTATCATTAGTTTATAATTAGTACACTTTAAAATGTAATTATATATTGTATTTTTGCAATGGGCGTTCAAATAAATAAATAAATAAAAAACTACAATTCTGGGGGTTTTCAAATTTGGCTTACATCGATGTTTCAATAAAGAAAAAAGCAATAATTAAGTTTTCCCTATCGTCTACTACATATGATCAACTTTTATATAAACCATTTCTTGCATTTTTCTCCTAATTACGCTTTGTTTTATAAAAATAATGCTTTATTAATAAAAAATATTGAATAAAAATAAAAATGTTGAATTTAAGTTCAAACCCCAAATCAATTATTACAATGCAAGACAAACTTTTTAAAGGACCCACAATAAAATTCACTTCCTCATTTTATACTTTTTATGAACTAGGTAATATGTTATTGAACAAATTGCCATTAATTAAAGATTTAGGAAATAAGAACGACCTAATAGCCTTTGGAGTAATCTCATAATTCCATTCCTTTTATATATACTTCATAAATATATTACTGTTCAGCCTTCATAATATACAACATTTGATGCTATATATATTTTTACATGGCTCAGAAGTTATGACTTCTTAAACACTTTCGTACAACAATCAACCTCTGACTAAAACTTTCTGCTATCTTTACTAAACTAAATTAGTGAAAAAACAATGATTAGAAAGTGTGTATGTCATGTATAGATATATGATAAGTTATGGATTCAGAATAAATACAAGAAGAATGGTGAGAAGGCTACATTTAGCTAATGTCTGCCTTGCAAATGTCATACGTCGTTCAAAGATACGTGTAAGAACGCACTGACCATTAAAATTTCAAATTTAAGTAAACCTAGGACAAAATATAATGATTTGTATCAATTACTAACCTGCTTGATTTAGCTTTGCATATACAGCACCCTGTAGGCGACCTGTACACCTTAGGTTTATGAAACGAAAACATTCTGATTCCTTACGTTTTGGCTTCTATCATACACAATCTGCAAAACAAAAAAAAACAATAAATAACACACAACAAATTTACAAGCCCCATAAGTAGGGCACGCGTGCTTAAAATATACTCATACTCAATAAAACTAAATACACACTATCTCAAATCAATAACAATTTGTCAAAGACGCGTTGGATGTTAAACAACCAAATTGATGCTTCGTAATTGCAAGTATCGGTGGTACAAACTTGGCTATGAGGGTTACTTTTACAAAAGGTTACAAATAACAAGCGTCGCGTCCATTCACAAGTATAAACACAATTGTATGGTAAACAGTAGTAATTAAATCAACACTTCGTACCTCGTAATAGTCGATAACTAATAATATTTCCAAGCAAAAGACGAGCACTATCAACAATGGCAATGCCAATAAGTGTATCATAATCAACCGTACGGCGATTTGACAGGGGGCACTCTTACCAACGCACGGAACAAAATGGCGGACGAAAATAGACAAGCTGTCAAAAGAATAAGAAGATGGAAATAAAATTGTAGCGCTTTATGTAGTTTTTGTGTATAAATGTGAAACACAATATAAGTTTATTATAACATTGTGGAATTTAATTACAAAACGGTTTGCAAAATTTGCATTGACAACTGCTCTGTCAGCTTCCAAATGGCGGGACAACAATGACAAACTGTCAAAACAATTAGAGAGGAATTGAAATAAAATTGTAGTGCGTTATGTAGTAATTTGTGTGTAAATGTGGAAAAACGATAAAGTTTATTACTACTTTGTATAATTCATTTACAAAATCGTGTGCAAAATTTGCACTGACAACTGTTGTCAACAGCCAAAATGGCGGGATAACAATGACAAACTGTCAAAAGAATAAAGGAGATATGGTAATGGAAATGTAGTGCGTTATGTAGTATTTTGTGTGTAAATGTGGAAAACAATGTAAGTTTATTATTAAATTGTGGATTTCATTAACAAAATCGGTTTGCAAAATTTGCATTGACAACTGCTCTGTCAGCTTCCAAAATGGCGGGACAACAATGACAAACTGTCAAAA